TTAAATTTTTTTTTTTTTTTTTTTTTTTTGGGTAATTATTTTTAAAATTGTTATTTTGGTAATTAAACCATTAAAATTATTTAAAAAAAAACAAGAAATATTTAGTTGAGTTATTAATATTATTTATCTCTCTTAATATCTACTTAAATTAAATTTTCTCCTTAAACATAGTAAATATATGTTAAATTTAAGGGTGAAAAGCAGAAAATTAATCCGAGTTAAAAGTATTTCCTCCGGGAGAACTTATTTACACCAACGTGACAGAAGAACAGGCTTCGGCCCAAATACTTTTCAAAAGAAGCCCATAAAACCGAAGCCCAATATGAAATATTTTTTCGAGGAGGCCCAATGTTCTGGGGATGCTTCTCCTTAACGTCGTCTTCCGTCATTGCCTCGACGGAGAACTTGGCACTGAACGACAGACGTCCGATTGAATCAGACATGGAATTCGCTTCAGTTTAATCCGCAGTGGAGTGGAGTGGAGTGGAGTGGAGGAACTGTATTAGCCTCTTCCTTTGGCTTCTTAGGGTAAGTTCGAACATTCAAGAAGAATTTTACGTTTTCCTCTAGCTTCTATTTTCATATAGTTCTGCTGAGAAATGAATTCCATAATCCCGATCTGTCTGTGATTTCTGCGCTCTGCTGTTTGAATTAGCTATTCAACAAAATTTGGCTTTATTCTCCATCAATTTCTTTAAAATCTTTTGAGATAATAGTTGTTGATTGCGTTGCAAGAACTCAGGACGATCTAAACCTTTGTATCTTCAGCGCCGAGAATTCTCAATTTATTTGTTCTAGAAATTCCTCCACATTGGATTCTGATCGCTGGAAGATGTTTAATACATTCGAATTCTTTCGTTACAACTAACAATGTAAAAGGTTGCACAGGGGGAGAACTCGCCATGGTTCTCGCCCTTGATTTACAGGAATTTATTCTCCGGGCGAGAGTGTTGAAACTGTATAGGCAGGCTTTAAGAACTACTCGCAAAGCTCCTGTTCACGCTCGAGGTTAAGCTTTTGATTATGATCTTACATTGTTCTTTATGCATTTAAATTTTTCCCGCCTTCTCCGCATGAACCAAGCTTAAATTGGATTGGGCGTCGTGTTTAGTCGATTGCCTGTTCTGCGTGCTTAAAGTTCTGAGACTGTGTGCTTTGAAACAGAAGAACTGAGGCATACGATCAGACAAGAAATGGAAAACAACCGGAGCTGCAGTGATAGACAGAAGATTAGATTTCTGCTCAGTGAAGGAAGGGAGAGATTAAAGCGTTTAGATGAGATGTTGGATATGCAGGGCCATTCATAAAGAGAGTTTTCAAGTTAAAAGTTTTTCATCATCATCTTCCTCAATCAGTAACTGTAGGTATTGGGATGAAGGGTCGTTTAAATTTCTCCTACTTTTGTATGATATTGAAACTTGAAAGTGAAGTCCAATATTTGGTTAATGTTATGATCTTATCATAATTTTCCATCAAATTAAGCAACTGAGATGACACTGTCTGTACATACAGAGACCTGTGACATTAAATGTGGGGAAAACGACTATAACCTTCCTGTCCTGGAGCTTTTGCGAATGCAAATACGTCTTTGAACGTAAAAGAAGCCACTTATTCTATAGGGGCTGAGAGGCAAATCCTCTCCAAAGTAAAAATAGTTTGTTCTTATTCTTGTTCTTGACGACGATGTTTGTTCTTGTTCTTGTTCTTGATGACGATTTGAACTAAAAAAACAATAAATAAAGAGAGACCAGAGGAAGAATATTATCATACAGGATCATGCACTGATGAGCAGAAAAGTTCTTATAGTAAGACGGACATTATTTTGTATTGTAACAATTTCTTATTGCATCCATCAATCTCGTATCTTTACACAGCAAACTTACTTTTGTTTTTCCTTTTTACAAGCTGTAAACTGTAATCTAGTTCATCTTTGCTTCCACTGTCCCTTTTGTAATCATGTTCACAAACTCGTCATAATTGATTTTTCCATCCTGAAAGCATTAAAAAAGAAAAAAAGGGTAAAAAATTTTCAAGTTGCTAATCTATCAGAGATGAAGAAAATTCATGTGTAAAAAACAAAGGAAAGATTAGTACTCCATCGATATCGACATCGTTAATAATTTCATCAATGGTATCTTCATCTCCCATGCCATACTGAGTCATGGCCTGTCTGAGCTCATCTCTTGTGATAAATCTGAAAATTCAGCAGCAAAGTATAAGTAGCATTTTATCAATCAAACAGCTTTCCAATGCAAGAGGTTATGAATACTGCATTACGAACCCGCTTCCATCTCTGTCAAAGAACCGGAAAGCATTGTATATGTTTTCTTCTTTATCGAGCCTATGTCGATGCATCGTTGCAGTAATAAACTCACCATAATCGATCGTCCCATTTTTGTCGACATCAGCCTGACCAAAGTAGAGGTTTAAGTTTTTCATGTATAAGCTAAAAGGCCATGCATGAACATACTCAACCAGCTGAGAAAGTAAAAAGTGGAAAAGAGGGATTTGTGGTTCTTACTGCATCCATTAGTTGCTTTATTTCGTGTTCCGAAAGCCTTGAACCGAGCCTGGATAAACCTGTTTTCAGCTCATCAAATGTGATGGTACCACTTCTATCAGTGTCTATGTTCTTAAACATTTGTTTCAGACCCTTTAACTCTTCTTCTGAAAGGTTTTGTGCCATTACCTACCAACAACATTCAGCATATTTTTAGATCAATGCACTGAAATTCACTCATTTCTACATAGTAAGGGGAAAAAAAAATGGGGGTAAATGTAGATGTAAATTATGTGAAGTACCTTAAGAGCAAGTTGTTTAAACTTGTTCATTGCTCTGAACTGCTTCATCCTAATGAGCACCGCGCTATCTATGGGCTTGCTAGAGGCCTCACCCTCGATCTTCAACCAAGGATGTTCTGATTCATTAATGGGAGACTTAGAATGAGAACATTGGGCTATTCCAAGAAGCAATCAAGATCTTTTTGAACTAGGGAAAAAAAGTGGTACTTACCAAGCGCTTCGGCAGCGGTGATCCGCTTTCTTGGGTCCCTTGTCAGCATTTTAGAGACAAGATCCTTGGAAGAAGAGGATATGGAAGGCCATGGAGGGTCTTCCATTTTTAGGTTGCCTTTCAGAACTGCTTTCACTATCTCGTCTTCGGTCTCTGACGGAATTGGAACATCAAAATCAAGTCAGGCAGGCACAAAGACATGAAGGCTAGTTGTACCATCACTAAACAAAATTTGGATAAGAATTTAAATGTTATACCTAAAAAATTAAATGATTATGAATTTGAAGCATGGGAGTAGGGTTATGTTAAAGAAGTGAAGTATTGAACTTACGTCCCCAAAAGGGAGGCTCCCCACACAAGAGAATGTAAAGAATAACTCCAGCACTCCATATATCGATCTCCTTCCCGTAATTCCGCCGTAAAACCTCAGGGGCAATGTAATATGCACTTCCAACTATTTCTCTGTATACTTTGCCTGACAAATCATTTTCATTCCAACACAAACTGTTAAACAAGCCTGAGAATCCCAATACCCATCAGCCCAAACACAGACCTAATAAAAGAAGTTCTTCGCAATAGTTGATTTGATTGATTGGACTTTCTCTTCGTCGACTTGGTCAAGAGTGACTTGTTGACGTTGGCTCAAAACAGAAATTCTAATTCGAATACCATTTTTAATTCAAAAAGACCTCCATTACCTTAAGAGAGCTCTCGATTCAAGTTCATACTGGACATACACAGTGTTTCATTTCTAAACTAAATTCCATACAATTTCAAGGCTACAAAATTTTCAGTTAAGCGATGCAAGGAAATGCATGGAGGTTAAAAAGAGAATTGGAAGCTAACCGACCTTCTTCGATGAAAACGGAGAGTCCAAAATCGGTGGCCTTAATCGGCGAATCGTCGTCTTCACTGACCATCAGGAAGTTCTCAGGCTTCAAGTCTCTATGCATAACCCCCATAAAATGGCACGCGTGAACTACATTCAAAATCTGCTTACAAATCGACGCCGCTTCTCTCTCCGAGTAACTCTTCTTCTTGATAATCCGATCGAAAAGCTCTCCGCCGGAACACAGCTCCATAACCAGATGCAAATTCCTCTTATCCTCATATGCGCCCTTAAACTCCACGATGTTCGGTTGGCCAGTCAAATGCTGTAGAATCAAAATTTCCCTTCTCACATCGTCGATATCCTTCTGTTTCACCATTTTCCCCCTGGAAATCGTCTTGCAAGCGTATTTCCGACCGGTGGACCTCTCGGTGCAGAGATAAGTAATCCCGAACTGGCCTCGACCAAGCTCCTTGTGGAGTTCGTAGATTGTGGTTATGTTGACGTAGGGGCGGCCGGTGATTGGGCCAATCTGCGACGGCGGAACGGACTTGTAAGATGGAATCGATGGCGGCTTCGGCGGTGGCTTTGGCGGGTATTGAGATTGAGGGGGTGTGTCTGAGCCATAGGTGAAGGAGTCGATGGGAACGTCGCGGGTTCTGGTGAAACAGAGGCCCATGGCGGAAAGGAGAAAGAAATGCAGAAACCTTCTTCTTCGACCTTTGTGAATGGAGATGCAAAGGGAGGAAGACGATTATGAAGTGTTTTGGTGCACTTTATTCGGTGCTTTGCTTTGGCCTTTGGTTTGTTCTTCAGCATCATTCTCTTCCACTTTTTTGTTGTTTCCGGAAAATCAGAGAAAACACATAGAAAGCGATTTGTTTCTTGAAAAGATAATGGAACCCAAATTCACCAACCTTCCCTTGCTTCTTCCAAGCTCTCTCTGTATCATATTGTTCGGAATCAGAATTTGGGTCACTTCTCGCTCTACCTTCTCGATTATTTTACCCTCCAATTTATTATACAATCTTCTTTTTATTTCGTTATTGTTACCAATTATTGTTACTATGATTATTATTTAGGTGAGAACTTTATTCGGTAATTAATACCTTAAATTCACATGTTTAACCGTATTAAAATAACTAAATTGGTTTAAAAGATGAGAATGAGATGTAACTAAATAGTTACCGAGACCGTTAGCATATTCGAGTTCTCGAATACCATACCATAATATGATGCACTTTTTCTACTGCCATAAAAATATCTCGAATTTATACCATTAATTATTATGAAGCTAACAAATTCAAAATTTATGTCGGATAGTTAGTTATTAGGAGCATATTTGTCTAGTTGAATAATGCACATATAATCAAATTTATTTAATCAAATTTATTTAAAATATTGATGTCCACTACAATTGTACGAGAATGCTAAAGAATTTCAAGAAATGTGGACAGGCTAAGTTGAGAAGTTCTCGAGATAGCCAAGGCAAGACGGCTTCGGTTCTTGCTTCTAAGTCGAAAAATATCGACCAAACATAACAAGTTGCTATTGATTAAAACGAGTTGCAGAGCCTTACTTATCTCACAACTTATATATACCCATCATCAAGGCATTATGACAAATCCATAATCATTAGAAAATGGAAATTAGTAAATCCCTGGCTAAAATAATTTACATATCAAATTGTTTTCAAGCTGCAGATTGTCCATAAAAATTAGGAAGTTGAAAAGGAAATAAAGAGCTAAAATAACAAAGCAATTTAATCTCAATTTGGTTTAAAAAGAGCAAGATGTCACACCTTCATCGGCATCACCTCCCATTGAAGGGAGAGTCATGGTTGCTCGTCTCGACGCACTTTGTATGCACCTCGAATCCACAATCCAGGCACTGATAAGCCCATCCACAACCCTGCTCGTCACACTCGCAGCATATGAACGGTCCTCCCCCATTTCCTTCAGACACCAAATTCAGCTCGTGTCTATGTCCAACATGGCGCACCGACGTCGGGAGTTTTTTCGCCTCTTCCTCCTTTTCTTTCACCAGCTCCTCCAATTTAGCTTCGGTGAATGGATAAGCATTTTCCCTGTACAAGTTTATTAGGTTTCTACCTTGTTTGGTGACTGTCTTGCCATTTGGACCTAAGATTATCAAACAAGGGATGCCTTGCACGTCAAAATGTTTGGCAAGGTTTTTAATCATTGGGTCTCCAAATGGCAATGCTAGCCACGGCATCGAACCGAAGTAAGAATTGAAGGAGTCCTCATCTCGATCACTCGACACAAAAACAATCTCGAAATCTTCATTTTCTTTCGTTGCTACCATTTGCTTTATCTGGTCGTAGATAGCAATCAGCTTGGGCGTGAACATACCGGGAAGACACCATTTCGCTGAGAAGTAGAGCCCCACGGTCTTGCCTACTAATGAAACAACAGGGACCTGCACAATCAACATCCAATTAAAGCTACACAATTACAGCATTCAGTGAAATGTCCAAAACCAAAAAAACTTCTTCTTCCACCGTGGATCACTTCTTCTGCTCGAGCTGAAACCTTAGAATTTCCGAAGTCAAGATCCATCTACAGGCTACAATGACAAGGAATGTCTAGAATATTTACAATATCCCCACGAAATTATGGGGCCCCTCCACTCACAAAATTTGTTACTTTCATTCATTAGTAGAGTCAAATCCAACTTCTATGTATCATGTGAAGCTAAAATTAACCATCAATAACAAAACTTTCAACTCTAGCATTGAATTCATCCACCAATTGACAAAGATGAAATTTTTCATAGAGATCGAAAAGAAAGTGTGAACACAACCGCTCAAATTCACTGCTAATAAATATTATCCGCTTTGGCCCGTTACGTATCGCAGGGAGAGGTTTCCACATCCCTATAAGGAATGTTTCGTTCCCCTCTCTAAATGAAGTGGGATCTCCAATCCACTCCTCTTGAGGGCCTAACGTACTCACTAGCACACCTCCCAGTGTTTGACTATGATACCATTATGTAACAACCCAAACTCACTGCTAGTCAATATTGTCTGATTTGGCTCTTTATGTATCGCCGTGAGTCTCATTGTTTTATAATGCATATATTAGGGAGATTTTTCTAAAGGAATATTTTATTCCCCTCCCGACCAAAGTGGGAATGATCAGAAATATGGTGCAAAAGCAACAGTCTTTTAAGAGTAGGGTACTCAGACTCAAAATCTAAGTAAGAGCAACTCAATTGACAAAGAGGAGATGGAATAAAGAAGATAGATGGTCAAATATCAAATCTTCAATTGAATCGTAAAAGCAGTGAGAGCTGAAGAAAGGGATCCCATCAATCACAAGACATAACGAGAGAGAGAGAGAGAGAGAGCATCAGAATGAAGGACAATGTTTGAGCTTACAGAAGGAATTGGTGAGTGTCGGGGTCCATCGGGCCAGAGAGACCGACATCAACAGACAGCAATTGTCCAAAATTATCAAAGGTTGGGATCCACGTGTACAGTCCTCAAGACATATCCATAGAACATTGATGACAAATTTGAGTGGCTGTGGGTTTACCATTAGGTAGTCATTATGATAAGTGGGTAACTTGAAAAAGAAAATCTATACCGTAATAAAAAATAAAAAAAAAAAATTCCCTCAAGGTCTCCTTTTGATATCTATTCAAGGAAAATCTTACCATTTTCAAGACCTTGTCGGCAAACTAGACATGTTTGGAGAGAGAATCATTTTGAAACATATCTACAATCAATCATTTAAAATGGTAAATCAAACATATATTTTGAATTGACTTTAAATAATTAAGACATGTTTTGAAATTTCTCTCAAACATGATAGACCATCTCAAACATGTCCATAGACCAATTAGTTACTCTTAATAACCATGAGGGAGATGATTATAAAAGTGACCAAGAATTCTCTTTCTTTATCATCAATCGAATCACTGACTAAATTGTATCATCTATTTGCATTAGATTCGAGAGGGTTCAAACTGACCTGTTTCGGGATAGGATAACTCAAAAGATAATCTCTGTTGCCATTTGTCAGCAAAGTAGATAATGTCTGATTCTCTTCCTTTTCTCTATCCTCATCCTTCAGCTGCTCCAATCTCTCCTTCGTAAAGGGAAATGCATCGACCCCATATCGGTAAACAACCTCCACTCCTTCATGCAACGTCGCCGTTTCATCTTTATTTTCACGCGGCTGCAATATAATCAGACACGGAATGCCTTCAATCTCGAATTTCCTGTTCAAAGCAATTTTGGTTTCCAAGTCGGAGAATGGAATCGCCGGCCACGGCATACTCGCACAGTACTCATTGAAGGCGTCGGAATCCTCGTCGGAGGACACATAAACCACTTCAAAATTCGACCCATTTCCTTGGAGCTCCTCGTAAGTTCGGACCAGAATCTTGTTGAAGCTCCGGCATGGCGGGTACCAGTTGGCAGAGAAGTAAAGGCCCAGGACCTTACCGTCGAGATTCGACACTTTGACCTGCAGCAACAAAAGCAGACGCCGGAATTAGAATCGCCGCCGGCAAGTAGCGAATCTTATAGGAATTGGAAATGGAAATAAGTGTGTGTGAAAGCGATGTGGTACCAAAGATTACACGTAATGCAGATTCAAAAATAGGAGAAAATTATTAAATTGTAGCCTCCACGTATGCAAATTTCATGATTTTTGTTGAATAATAAATCACAATTATTTTGCGCCTCTAGAATAATTTCTCAATTTAATTACATTTTGAGAAATTTCCTTCTGGATCTATAATGGGATGACAATTGTCCCTTCAGTTTATGAGTGTCACAAAAGGGGCATCATATTCGCTCCATCGCTGCCTTGCGAAAATTGGACCGCGAATTTGCCACGTGCAGCTCGATCCAAATGAGCACCGAACAATACCACCCAAAACAATGACACTCGAGCCGACAAACACAATCGAGTGACCGACCGACCCACGACATACAGGCTCGTGCAATTTTCCTACCACGGTCACAGATTATCAGCTACTACTCACAGTTGTTCCTGGCCGCTGTCGGATTGACCTCGAAATATTACTATTTGGGTCTGTTTTTGTATGATTTTATGTACGCTTTTTAGTCGTTTGGAATCGAGAACTCCAATGGCGTTTTGGGTTTCAAATCCGAGAATATCGCTCATTGAGATTGAAACGCAACCTCGTACTTCCCCCCCTCTTAATCCAAACCTCAAATCCCTCGAGGGTTTGTCTCCGGCTTCTACGCAACCAACCCCATCTTCCTTCAGTTTTTCCCGATTACTCCCATGGAAAAACATCGACCATTTTTTATAAATCTGTCGTCAATAGTCTTCTCCAACTAAAAAAAACGGTACGGACGTTGATTTCTCACTGTTCGCTCTACCTTGGAAGAAAATAATAGGGAAAAAAAAAAAAAACTGAGTAAGTTACTGTTGTTTTTTCAACACAACCAGATCCAAGTTGAATCATTCCTTAAACAACGCTAAAACTAAATACGAAAACGGTCCCAGTTCATTTTGTGTCTCACCCTTCGCTAGATATTCAGCTGCTACTTCATGCTTTTCCCAATACTTCCAGAGGCTATGAATAAATTTAAAAAATAATAGCAATATATTTGAATGGAACCTGAGCTCCGGTGGAGGAGACGAGATAGTCACGATCTCCAGAAGCCAAAAGAGAGGAGAATCTGGAAGATCCGTAAGAGCCGCCGTTCGTCAGAGCTCGATTTCCATCCTTCATTTCCGTTCACCTGAAGAAGAACTGCTTCCGTTCTCTCTGAAACGAATTCCGGCCACCGCCACCAAGCTCCTACAGCCGCTTGACCACTCCATTCTTATATTCCTTCCTCAACCATTTGTTTCTACATCATTGCGCCCTTCGCTACTCCACATCAAGCATCAACTTTCCAACACGTAGCACTCACGAGATCCCCATCCTCTGCTCTTCCCATAAAATACAACTCAAATCTACGCCGTTCATTTCGGGGATTGGACCACGCAGAGGAAAAGTACCAAGTGTGCGGTTCTCGAACGCGGGTGCACTGAAGATTGATGTTGGAGAAACAGAGGAATATAGCCCGGCGATGTGGAAATGGGTGAGGTCCGTGTAGTCATTAAAGACTTGGAATTGTTATAGTGAGAGCAAAACAAACTAAGGAGCCACCTGTCCCTTCCTCTCCCTGTCTTTTAATTTTCTTTTTGACTTTTTTTTTCCTCTTTTTTTTTGGGTGAGAGGGAAATGTTGGGGATTTACGTACGAGGTGAGGAGTGGTGGTGGGATGACGGAATATCAGATCTCGATGTTCTTTTCATCCAACGGTACAGCAAACTCCATTTGGCCATAGACATGTTTGGGCTTTGGAGAAACTATTTTTTGTTTTTAAACTTTCAAATGTGGTAAAATATTAAAAATTAAAAAAAAATCTTATAATTAATTTTGAACGTAAATCATTTATTTGAAATAAACCATTAGAGAATACTTATAAACTTTTAAAATTAAAATTAGTATCCTTAAATATTTAAAAAAAAAATTAAAATTCAACAATGGTTTATGTCTATGTATATTGATGATAATATATTTTTTTATATTTTATAAATTAATTATAAATATCATGTCAATATATTTATTTATTTTAATTTTTTAATAAAATAAATACATTCCTTTTTCTAACTATATGTATCTTATTTTAATAGAATATAAATTAAATTAATACTCGACAAACTCAAAAAATAGTATATTAGAAATTTGAAGATTATTGCTGGTGAGTTTGAAATTAAATGAAAATGATTTGAATAAAATTTTAGAACTAAACCTTGTACCATAATGATATTTATATATTCGAAAACTATAAAATAACTTTCGGAAACAAATTCCACTATGTCTTGAAATGGGGTCTGACGTCGACTGGCCGACTCATAGAAGACACAAAATAAATAATAAATAATAAATAAAAAATAGGAGAGGAGGTAATTATATAATGTGAAAAGTATAAATATAGAAACTGAATTAGATTATTTATATTTTCTAAATTCCAGAGGGGCCCTGGTATGCGACAAAAAGGAGACGGGATCTTGCTATAGTGAACCTTGCTATTAATTTCCCAATACCATCCGACTTTACGTTGGTTGGAGAGGAAAATGAAAATATTTTTTACAACCCAAGACTTATGTTCTAAAATATTGGGAGAAAATTCAAAAAATAACCTCTAGTAGTGGATTTATTTCAAAGGGGGTAGATTGTAAGATTCCCTCGTTCAAAAGTAAACCAAACATTCTGGAAACTTCTCCCTAATATATTTGTTTTAAAATCGTGAGAGAAAGTGTAGAAGGGAAAACAAAAAATGACAATATTCATTAGTGGTTGCCTTGAGACATTACAAATAGTATCAAAGCGCGTCACAGGGCGGTGTGCCAGCAAGGATGCTGATCCCGAGAGAGGTGGATTGTGAGATTATATAAACTTTTTCATAACAGACGCATTTTTAAAACTTTGAAAAAAAGTATAGAAGGGAAAACTCGAAAATGATAATATTTATTAGTGATGAGTTTGAGGAAGTACAAATGATTTTAGAGCTTGTCATTGGGTGGTGTGCTAAAGAGGACGTCGGGCTCCAAAGAGTGGATTGTGAGATTCTAAAAGGGAAAATCAAAAAAATAATCTATTAGCGGTGGACGATGTTGGACTCCAAAGGAGAAGATGGTAAGATTATACCGACAATAATAAAATATTTCTTGCAAGAGTGGTAAGTTTCTCTAAAATTTTGAAAGTAAAATTGGAAAATGAAAAGGAATTGCGATGGTGTTTTTTTTATATAATAAAATTCAAACATGATTGGAGTTTTTTACTTTACTATATTTAATGCATAGTTTATGTCAATTATATTTATCGATTAAATAGAAAAAAAAAGGGGGGGAAAAGAGAAATGGAACCACATTTGATTCAAATAGATAAACTCTAAAAAAATAGATTGCTTGAAATGATTAAAAGGATAGAATAATTCCTTTATAAGTAATACACGTGTTAAAGGCGGGAAGGGAAAGGGGCCGTACATTAATGGAAGGGGTCGCCCAAGCAGCAACAACAATGCTTGCGAATCCAGCGGGACCCACCACAAAGGGCTATGAACGAAAAATAATCCCATACCCAAAGACACGTGTCCACAGCAAATGCCGTGTAGAAGCAGAGCAACCGAAAGCTGATGGGCCCCACACCCCCAACTCCCTCTCGCTTTTTGCACACACCAAAAGCTACCCTGATTGAACTTCGCGACCTGCCATCCAGCTGGCTTTCATCTTCGTGTCCCTCTCGCTGCCTTGCACGTGGCGTCTCGCTCGAAATCTACGACATAAATGGGACCCTTAATAATTATCATAATCATGTCATATATTGTCGAAATAGTTTATCATATTCAAATTGGTCAAGTAATTTTCTATTGAAAAGGGCATAATCGCCAAATTCATAGATTTTAACTGTGGGGCCCATATAAATCATGTTGTTATTCGAATAATTTTGATTGGTAACCAGGGATAGGCACGACAAAAATAAAATCCTGATTATTTAAATGCTCAACTCTCCCGAAGATGGACTGGTGGCCCAATCCCAGTCCACGACATCACGTTGGGCCTTTAAGACCATAGGTTCGATATGGGCCTTGATGAACATAGGCCCGCAATAGGCCTTTTGGACCTCTAAGAACGATTTTTAAAAATACAAAACGAGTAAAGATGAGAACAAATTCATACCGCGATTTGCACAGCGGGCAATGGGTACGAATCGTAAATTATATGAAATTAAAGGGGCATTTGGGGAACGTAATTTTCTATTTAATAGATCAGTTAATATTTTTTTAAAAAATCAAGATACAAGAAATCTAAATTTAAAATTTAGATATTTATTAGATTAAAAAAAAATATATGAACCTCAAATTGATAGAGATATTTTAAAAATTAAAAAAGTCTATAAATACGAAATTAAAGTAAAAAAAAAAAAAGAATATTAGAAAAGAAAAAACAGCGAGGAAACCTTATTTGGACCGGCTGCAAGGAGTCAGTTAGGGTAGTTTTCGCAATAGTGCGGCTACTATATAAAGGGTGAAACACCAGTGCTGGCGATTTAGGGCGTAACAGAAGAAACAAGCCGTTGAAGAGGGCTCTCTATTGTGGAGCGTATTTTATCCTATTTTCAATCGCTGTAAGTCCTGAGATCGAACCTGATAACTTCAAGTATGCTTCCTGTTTCTTGTTTTTGGAGATTACTTTCCTCGCACTTCGCCCTTTTTCTTTCGCGTTCTGTATTTTACTCTTCTTGTTCTGGTTCGTAGCCTTTTCATACTTTGCAGTAATTGATTAGGATGTTTCGATGCAGCTCCGTCTCCATGTCTGTGTGCGTTTTGTGTGCTTGGGGCGGGGGGTTACTGATTTTGTTTAAGCATCTGTCTAATCGGATTATTGCTTTGGCTGTGCAGATGGATCGGTACCACAGAGTTGAGAAGCCAAGGGCCGAGACTCCAATTGACGAGAATGAAATTCGGATTACAAGCCAAGGACGGATGCGCAACTATATCACATATGCCATGACCCTACTTCAGGTTTCTCTTTTCAGATGCTTTTCATAAGTTTGACCTTTTTTTTCTGGGGTAAATAATCTTTTTAAAACTCTTAATGCGTACTGTGAATCCGTTGGTGTAAAACGCAGTCTCTCTATGGAATTTACAAATTGTGAGTTTTGTTTGGTATTCAGAGTGCTATTATAAGTAATTGGGTTGGCTACATCCAGCTGTTCGGCACAAAGAAATTGTTAACTTATTTTCGCTGTGTTATGTGCAATAATCTGAGTACGTTGGGATTTTTTTTTTTCATTGTATTGTGGTGAGAAAAATTTCTTTCATGCTGTAGTATATGCTCCCCTATGCTCTTCAAACATATGATCTGGCTATTAGTTTTATCAAAATTTGAAGTCCTTTCACTTAATGTATGGCTCTTGGTGGTTACTATCTTAAAATGTTAAATTCTGAGTTTCAATGAATCTTGATATCGGTTATATTTTTATATGCTTCATCGTAGCGGGTTTTCATAGGCATTTAGGTCATGCATGCTTCAAAAAATTAAGGCAGCCTCAGGCATTTTCTCTTGAAGAATGAGGTGTAAGCCATATATAAATATATATATTTAAAGAAAAGAAGTCACGGACGCTAATGGCTGGAAAGCTATGTATTACGAAACATTATTATTATACCCAAGTGCATAGTTGTCATGCCCGTCAATTCTCCCTTTCTCAAATAAGGTTTATGATCTTCATTGCTGCTCAAGTGTTTTTCTATGTTTTGGTAATAGTAAAAAAGGATAAATTGCTAATTCTTGTTGGATTTGTACGACATACGAAATTGACTCTTGAAGAGAGAATGAGCACATGACTTACACCTTTATGTGTCCTCATGAAAGTTAAGTGTTTATGAATCAGGGAAGGTACATGTAGTGATGAAAATATGTGCCTCAAAATCCCTTATTTTACATTTTTTTATCCTAGTTACTCTATGTTTTAGAGGACAATGTACGGTATTATTTTATGTGTATTACACTTATTTGATGATTACATTTTCATTAATTTGTCAATTAGTTGAAACCTTTGTTTACCCTTTTTGAAACTTTATGCAGGAAAAAGGATCTAATGAAATTGTTTTCAAGGCTATGGGAAGGGCTATAAACAAGACTGTGACAATTGTGGAATTAATCAAGGTTTGCTATAATAGTTCATGTGCCGATGCTCAACCACTTGATTACTTTTGAGATTGGGCTTGACAATATGTCGTTGGTAAATGCAGAGGCGAATTGTAGGTCTTCATCAGAATACCTCAATTGGCTCCACAGACATCACTGATACATGGGAGCCCTTGGAGGAAGGCCTTCTTCCGTAAGAGTATTTTAATCAATATGTCATGCAAGGATTATTTAATCTACCCTTTTACTTTATATTACCATATTCATTATTTTGACGCATGAGTCTTTGAACATGTAGAAAAAATTCCTCTAGTGTTGGGCTTTGGATTCACAGAGTAATTTGATTGTTGTTACAGATTGGAAACAACAAGGCATGTATCGATGATTGTGATTACCCTTTCGAAGAAGGAATTAAATACATCCTCTGTGGGGTGAGTCCTTACTCGATTTTAATATCTCTCAAAGGTGCTTTTTAAAAAATAAATGAAAATAAATTATGTTCGATGATATGAGACTGTTGAATTTGCATGAAGATCTTCTCACGTTATTTAAACAAAACCTTAAGTTCATCTGCTCTCTCAGATTCAGTTGTTAAAAATGTTCAGATATTCAGGGTTTTGCATATTTAGGATCCGTGTATTGAATAATTTTAGTAATGATTTAATAAGTTTTTTTGGTCTTACTCTTTAGATTTGTTAGTCTTCGTATCTGAATTGTGAAAATGCTCTTCTAAAAATGAACATTTGTCTCACGCATTACTGTTGCTTCAGGTATCAGCCTCCACTTCCTGCTGAGCTGGTGAAAACATTTGTAGAGTATGACTACGAGGGAGGTAAGACCTGTCCTATCATACCTTTTTATTTATTGTTAAACTTTTTGCATTGGGAAGTGGACAACCTATTGTGATTGCATACTGCAGAAGGCTCTCCTCATGATCAGGGTCCAGGACGCGGCAGAGGTCGGGGCCGTAGTGGCAGAGGAAGGTCTAGGGGTAGAGGTATGTAGAGTTTGATTTTGTTTATTCTTCTTAATCCCTTCATCATGTTGTTGTTCATGGAAGGGTATGGCTTTTATCATTTTATGGCTGGTTGTAGTTCATTTAGTTTCTTGCTTCAAGTAGAGCATGTATGAACCGTAACAATTTGTTTTTGTTTTATAATGATATTGGTTTTAGGACCCCCAGGTAATGGCTTTGTGGGTAATGAATATGATGATGGAGATTGGGACCGTAATAGGGGTGGTAATGGAAGAGGAAGGGTTCGAGGGAGGGGTGGTGGTAATTTCCGTGGCCGTGGAAGAGGAGGATACAATGGACCTCAATTTGATTTACAGCAAGATGGAGGATACAATCAAGACTTCCCACCCCAAGGCCGTGGTATTTTCTTACTTCTTTTTCAGTATTGTTTATTTAATAAATTAATCTTTGATTAGCCATGGTGTTTTCTTAATAAATTTCCTTGTCCTTGATGTTTTAGTGGTTTTTTTTGGTTCATGTTTCGTATTGAGCTGGCCATGAAATGTTTAGTTTAGTTTGATATTTCAGCTCCCACGCGCCCTTGTTTTGAGCTCATGGAAGCGTTTGTTTGTATTTTCAGGGCGTGGGCGTGGAAGGGGCGGGTATCGTGGAAGGGGACGTGGTTTCAGAACTAATGGAGGACCGATCCAGGCTGCTGCATGAGAGAGATGCTGAAAGGTTAAAATCCTAATTTTATTCAACATGATGGATGAGTCCTGTAATGAATGATGTATCATTTGGGTTTTCGCCTCTTTTAGTTGCCGGTTGCATAGGACAACTATATTAACAGTAGGAATTTGGCCTTCTTTTTCCTTTTCTTTTGGAGTCGTAATTAGATGGAATGGAAGTAAGTGTTTGGAAGAGCTGCCGCTATGTGAGGGTGGCGACTCGTTTTCTTGTAGATTTAGGTGAGCTGCTTGACGTTTGTATTTTATTGTTTAAAAATTTCTTGGTCGGACAGTGTATTCTTTTATTTGAGTTTTTAGGATCTTCTGGCGTCCTTCAACGCTCTCCTTTCAGTTCTCTAATATTTGTTTCTTCTTTGCTCCTCACCCTTTCTTCATTTATCTCCCCACTATGTCTATACTCATAAGTTTTCTGTGCCCATAAATTATTGTTTTTTTTTTAATATGTGTCGCTTGAAACAATAATTTTGGTGGTTTTGGGCGAATTGAGTTTTATAAACAATGATTTAATGACAAAATAATTCACTATTTTCACATATTAAAAGAAGAGAATGCACGGCCTTGAATCCTGGCCTGCGGACATTTAGTATCAATAGATAATAATAATAATAATAATAATAATAATAATAATAATAAAAAGTCTTTTTTGTATTCTCAAATTCGTAAGCGCATACAAGTATATAGAATTTCCATTGAAATGGAGTTGGTTTACAATTGCTTTTATTATCTAATTTCGCAGGTTTTAGAATTTAGATACATTTAGTCTGTTTTCCTTTGATTTAAGAATTTTTTTCTTGTTTTCAGGGGAGTTTCCGGTAAATTAATGGTCTAATAGAATGATATTTGATGTTTTTTTCAAAATGCCTAATTAAAATATTCATTTGATTCAATTTCCCCCCCCAAAGCCCTAGTAGCTATATAAATCAAGGTGGTCCCCTTGGGTTTTAGAAGACGAAGATTCATTCGCATTTGCCATACCGGGCCTGCAATTCCGCCACCAAGTGCAACCACAAGGCTTGTTTGGTAGGAAACTTAGAATTTTCCGATCCTCCTCCGGTGCCTTCTGATAATCTCCCCGATGGTTCTAAACTCTCCACAACCCCCGCCACTTGAGGAGCAACAACCACAGAAACCGCCAGAACCACTGCCGAAATTTTCCCAAGATGATGAACTAGACGAAGAGCTACGTAAACTTCTGATTCCCGATGTTAGGGATCTTCCTTTCGCGCCTCCCTCCGCCGTCGAGACCAATTTCGTCTCGTATTTCGCTCCTGGCACGTTCACTGTCGCCGTGTCTTTTTCGAATTCACAATGGAGTTTTATTGCCCTAACTAAACCCTAAGCCCTCTAATTAATCTGACTAATTGGTCGTCTCATTTCCAGATTTTATGAAGGAAGGCCACGATCAGTACGTTTACCGCCACGCCAACGGGTAACGATTTTAATCTCTCTTTCTAGTTGATCCGAAGTACAATTCCCCGCTCATCGTAATTACTTATCTGACTTGTTTTTCTTATTCTAGCTTGTGTGTGATCGGCTTGGCTCCTACGCATATTGCATTCAAAGACAGTAGTGGTATCACAGCTGTTGATTTCAATGTAGGGAAATCTGATCGCAGTAGCTTTAAAGTCACTGGGAAACGCAAGAAGGTATGAAAATGGTAACTGCGGACTTGCGAACTGGTTCGCGTTACCGATTTCTAAAGAAACAGTGTTGCTAGAAATTAAAGTACGTCCATTGTGATAAAACCTCACTTATTGTTAAGGTGCTGGTGGCCTCTTGTGAGTTCTGTTGCTTTGGATTTCATGAAACTATCGTCACTAGAAGATTATGTCAATGTCCTCCATGATTCTTTATGATTTATATGTTTTTTTTTTTTTTTTTTTTTTTTTTTTTTTTTTTTTTTTTTTTTTTT